TCTCTCGTGAATAGGATACCAGAAGGCCTGAGAGACCGACAGGAACGTGTCGTGCGCCTCCGCGAGGATATCGAACTTCAGATCCTCGTCGTTGGGTACGACCACCCGTGGAGGTTCATTAGGCTCCACCCGGTAATAGAGGAGGCCATCCTTCAACTCAAATCGGTGGAGCCGGGAGCGCTGTAGCGACGAAAGCCAGTCGGACTTCGCGCTCTGTCCTGCTGCGAGGAACTTGACGATAGTTGCGACAGCCTCATCGTCCTGATACGCCATGCGTACCCGATTGTGGTGTAGTGGGATTAGCAAAATCTGCGAGGATGCTGGAACCAACTTACCAACAGCGCCCCGACACCGACTAATGGAGGGGGTCCGCCGATGATCCGGGATCTGCTGAACTTTCCTCACCTTGTGTACCCGTCGGTAGGTCGGGATCTTGCTCTCTCGGTAACTTCCGAAGAGCTCAAGTGGTGAAGCTTGAGTGTCTTGGTAAGACAAGGGGATGGGGTGGAGCAGTAGTGGTAAGATCTTCACTCTGCGTCCGTAGTTGTTTCAGGATCCCAAGCGAATATGCGAGCTTGGTGGATCCAGGGCCTATATCTGGGATCTGGCCGTAGGGTTGCCTTGCGGGTGTGTTCCATTGTCTTTGCGTTGTACTTGCCGCCTCCTGTGACGGGATCTTGAGAGTTGAGAGCTTCTTAGGTATACCCGGCCAAGTAGTAAATCCGGTTAACCCTTCGGATCTGCACGTGTAAAGGAAAGCTCACTAGGCATTATCCGGTTAGCACTACAAACACTAGATTCGCAATTCCCAACCTTCACCGAGCTCGTACGGCCAATGTAATTCCGATTCTTGAGGACAGGAAGGCACTTGCGTGATACTGCGCAAATTGAGGTCTGTATTGATACTTAAGCCTATACCTGCCTGGATTCCTACCTTCTATGTATTTTACCTGCTAACTCCTCTACCAGGCTCGGCTGCATGTCCGTTTTTCCCTTGGTTCATCACCCCAGCTGTATTAGCATCAGATCCGCCAAATTCATGGCGTAATCATAACGAGGTCGTCATATTATGGGTACACTATTCTGGGTCCAGGTCACTTTGATCCACCTCACTGCAAGTGTACACCCTTCATGGATCTGAGCTCTCCAATCTTCCAACCGCGTCTTACGACTGTCTGCGGTCTCCATCACTCCACGAAAGCTCGAGATCCGCTGTATCCACCATCCCCATATTCTGGATCCAGGTCACTTGATGCGGGATCCTCACCCCCATGAATCTGGACTCGGAAGAGTAGGATCTGAGATATATAGCGGTGGATGTTGCCTTCGTGCTTGTCGTTGATACCAGATCCACCTTCGGATGACACCTACTGTCCTTCCTTCATAGGATCCCCCCTTGATTCACCTGCACATGGTAAATCCCATATCCCCTAGGTGTAATCAGGTGAGGATGGATCCGAGTCTCCACTTGGTGGACCCTGCCTTCCCATACGTTATTCATGCCGGATCCATCGTCGACCCATATAGGATGCCGCTTTACCTTGGCCAATTCACTTCGAGCAGCGCGGAGTCATACCGGGCAATCCAGATCCCCACTAACCAGCGGGTGTGGCTTGCGAGATGACAACGACCATCGCCTTCGAGAGGGCGCTCGCAGGATCCGAGATCCACCAACTCCAATCGCAGATCCACGATCTGGAGCGGGATCTCGAAGGTGCTCAAGTTGCTAGCGTGGCCGCTGACGAGAGCTTGGATCGGCTCCGCGACGAGTTGCGTCTGACTTAGGAAGAGGTGGTGACCAACGATTATGTAAAATCCGCCCATAGTGGATCCGCATTAGGGTCAGCTCGCGGAGGGTCCCCCGCGCCGAATCCATCTTCCTCGTCGCCAAATGTCGCCCTGGCTCATCTCTCTGACGAGCGGAAAGATGCCAAAGAGTCGATTGAGAAGCTGTCAGATGGGCGAGATTATGCGCTTGAGGAGTTCATGCACATGACTCAAGCCCGTGACGATATCCAGGACAAGGTGACGGATACCGAGCTTTGGCGCGACAAGGCAACTACCGAGTGGGCAGATGCCAAGCGGACGCAAACGGAGCTGGAATTCAAGATCCGTCGTATGAGTACGTAGATCCTCACTTGTTTCCTTCTTGTAATCCCATATTCACTTGTTCTGTTGATCCAGGTGATAAATTCAAAGAGGTTGAGACAACTTCGATTCAGCTACAGGATCAACTTGCTACCGTCCGCAATCAGCTAAGCAACTAGTTCTGGAGCGTGACGCAGTTTGTCCGAGCGTGGCATGGCACGTCGACGGCTGACTATGGTGGCCGTTGTCATCACGGATCCACTCTCCCATCAAACTGGATCGCCCCCGGCCGCTAACGCCTCAGTCTCTCAGCAGTCTCTAGGTGGGGCGGATCCATTGGTTGCGAAACGACCACGCAGCGCATCCCCTGCTTCTGGTGTTGGATCCCGCCGGCCTCACAAGAAAACTCGGACTTCTTCCTCGGCTAAAGCTCCTGCCAAGGCCAAGTCCAAAGTCGGTTCTACTGCCAAGGTGGCTCCCAAGGCCGGATCCAGCGTTCCAACACCCAAACAGATTCCCGTTGCGATCATGCCAACGAAATCTGGACCCAAGTCCGGATCTGCATCCAAGTCCTCGGTTCCGTCTTCGAAGTCTGGATCTGGATCCAAATCCGGATTCACTGCTAAGCCTGCGGTTGCGGTGCCCAAGCCTGGGTCTGGATCCAAGACTGGATCCGCTGCTGCGTCAAAGTCTGGATCGGGCTCCAAGACTGGATCCGCTGCTGTGGCGTCGAAGACTGGGTCTGCATTCAAGACTGGGTCCGCTGCTGCGGCGTCAAAGACTGGATCCGCTGCTGCGTCAAAGTTCGGATCTGGATCCAAGACTGGATCCGCTGCTGCGGCGCCGAAGTCCGGATCTGGCTCCAGAACTAGATCCACTATCACGACGTCGTCCCAGGTGGTTTCGACGACTGGATCTACGGCAATTGCTTCTTCTACGACGGAGCTAGCAGCCTCCACAGCCGGGTCCGGTTCGGCTCAGTCAGGATCCACTGCTGGACCATCCGTGGCGGTGTCTACCGTCCCCCGACCAGCCTCGACTGGATCTCGACCGGTGGGATCTGGATCTGGTAAAGCGAAGGCTAAACGTATCATTCCCACCGGCTGTGGACTCGGCAGCTCGGAAGACGACGAGAAAGAAGGATCCGATTGGGCCGACAGCTCGGGGCCTCCTATCCGTTCGTCTTCGAAGCGTACCCTCTCCGCGGGTCATTATTCATTCAGTCCCGACGACGATGATGACGATAAAGATGAAGATCCTGAGGATTCCGAGGAGCCCAGAATCTCCGACGATGCTTTGGAGGAAGACATGCGGCGGGCATTGTCGCAATCTAGATCTGAAGCTCGGCGGAGATCCCACTCGACGTCGACCAAACAAGTCGCTGGCGCGCTCAGATCTGGAGACGGTACGGCGGGGTCTTCAATCCCGGTCGATAGTGATGATGGATCGGGCAGCGATGATGGAGAGTGATCACCTCACGGTGGCGGATCCACCGGATCTACCTTGGTCGCCCCTCCTCCCAACTCTTCCCTACCAGGGATGCTTCTCGGGGCCCCGTTCGGCCCGGATGCCACCTTCCCTGGTCGGCTCGCGCCTGTGGCCTTCATCGCAAACGCTATCGAGCTATGGTCCGCAAGGAAATTGAACCGGGTCGACATCGCTGCTATGAAGACCACCATCCTGTTCCCTGAGCTACCGGTTCGTGCTAAGTGGATATTCCCTCACGAAGAGGATGACATGCCGGCATCCGGGTATGTGAATTCGTTAGTCACCAGATCCCACTTGGAAGAGTTGCACAATACTCCACCATGGGATATTTTGACGGCTACTCTGGTGGATCCCGTTAGCTTTCGAGGTGACGTCGGTGGACGCCTCGGGTTGTTCGTTGGCGCCTTTCTAGATTTCGCTTCTAAACATCGGATCGCAATATGGGAAGGTTCGCATCGATTCCCCGTTTCTCGTGCCCAGCTGCGGGATTCAACGTGGCTGTTGAACTTCAACAAGCAACGCGGCAACAGACGCAGTCACGCCGGCCGAGTCTGGAAGAAAGTTCTCATGATCCCGGTTGGTGTGACGTGGATATCTTGCTGGGTCCGCTCTTCTTACACCTTCCCAGACATGGGAATAAGGTGACGTGGTTCCCGGGATCCGTATCTCGTCAGGCTAACTTGGAAAATTCCACTATTCACCGTTCGGAACTCACGAGCTTACTAGAGGCTCTGCGAGAGATCGACGAAGCGGAACCTTGGCGCAACCAGTTTCGGGGAGACCCCAGCCAACGCCCAGGACACCGGATCTCACGTCTGGAGGGCAAGCTCTTTAACGTTCAGCGCAAGACCACCTGATCCACACCACCCCTTCATGCTTCGCCCCCAGTTCCAGTCTTCGTGGAACCGTCTCGTAGTAGTAATTAGCGGCTAAAAACTGGGTCGATTTAATCTGTTTGCAAAAGCTCTCCTAATCCACTTTTCGTTACTTGAATATGTCTTCTCTAACATTCGCTTGTTCGATTGAGGAGCTATGTCAGAGCCTCCCAGCGTACGTCTGGATCTGGGCTAGATCCACCCCTGGTTCCAATCCAAATCCGTATCTGGATTCGTTTATTTTTGGACTTGAACTAGATCCGCGCTTAGATTTGAGCCGGATCCACCTCTTATGGCTGAGTCATGATTAGACCAGTATGGTCCGAGTACTCGAAAAACTCGCGTTTGGTCCGGGACTTTTCGCACGGGAAAACGCCACTCTTTATGCATAAAGCATTCACTTCTTCCTCCTGATC